GTAAACCCTACAAAACCTTAAAAGTTTTATACTATTACATGATAGTCTTTGAAAAAAAAAAAACAAATAAAAGTATAAAACTTTTTATGACAACTAAAATCATACAACAACAAAAAAAAGGTTTGATATAAGTGCAAGCACCAAAAATATGAAACATCAAATACAAGATTTTGTACAATGAAGCCTAAAATATAAAATTTTACTGTACAAAACTTTATAATTTGAGGTTTTGATATCGTTTTTGGAATACACAAAATCTTATATTTGAAGTTTTAATGTTGTTATTGGGGATTCTCTTAGGTGGGGCTACTATAAGATATTAGTCATATATATATATATTAGGCAGCTAACTCAGATTTAGATAAGTTATTGTGCATGAAATTCAGCTAAAACAAAAATGATGATCACAGTTTTATTTATTAGAGTATAAATTGTAAATTTACAAACTTAACTTATTTTTTGTTATATAGTAGTTAATGCAGAGTATGTTAGTAGTGAACGATTATATATGTGATTTAGAAAAATATACACTTTGAATTATTTTGAGTACAAAGTTAAAACAATTAACATATATCACAAAAATACAAGTTTCTGTTAATAAACTAAATAAGTATCATAATTTTGAATATTTTAAATAATTTAATAGTTTAAGCTTTATAGAAAAAAATGTTTATTAAATTTTCTATAATTATATAGTCATAATTATTTATAGAAACTTAATAAGTATAGTTTTCATTAGTTAATTAAAATAAAATATTATAAACTGTGATCATAAGATCATATAAAGGTTAAATGGACAATTTTCTTCCTTATTAACAAACAGAAGTTATGACTTTAAATAAATGTTGCAAGGGCTTAAAAAAAATCGCTAATGCATTTTGGGGTAGAGTTTACCGACGATCTCTTAGGATCCTCTGAGTGGAAGCAAACAAATGAGCTACATCTTGTAGGGATGCGTCTCTGATGAGTTAACCCTATAGTTGACATTTTCCTGTCATGAATCCCTACCCAGCTACAAGCCATGATAAATCTAACGTTTGTGATTAGTTTTAAAATACTAAATGTTATTGTGATACACAAAATTTTAAAAAGTAAAAACGAGTTAAGCAATTTTATTTTTTGATAACCCTATTGGATAATCTGGTCAATTTCAGGAACAATACATTTAGTGATATAGAATGGATTGAATATCACAATGGCTGGTCTGAGTTTGGAGTATCTTTTAAATAATATCAGGGGTTATCATCTATTATATCCTACTATATTAACCATTTTGACGGAAACTAAAGTTCAAACAAAATATGATAATCTAACACTAAGAAAAATAAAGAAATCTCATGTCCATTGTAATTTAATGGAGTAGTCAAGTCTATGTATTTCAATTATCTCAGTTCTGAGAAGAATCAAATCCAGAACTAACATATATACATGATGAACTCCAAGAAATTACTATTATGATATCACACTTGGTTGGAGAGTATTTTAAGCTTTAGTTTTTAATACGATCAAGTATTTAAGAATAAAATTATAATGAATGATTATAATGAGTGAAAGCTTAATATGTTGAGAATATTGTTTCTGTTACTTTTCAACTGAATGTAAGCTACTAAATAATGGATGATAATATCGTTTAATAGCTTACATTATAGTACAAAACTTGATTAAACACGCATAAGTATAACTATAATATATGTAGTTTCAAATGTGTACTTTTCATAGTATAATTTTAAATTTAAAAATTAAAATACTGAAAGGTCATTATCAAATTATATTATAAATGGAGTCCACGAAATGAAGTTCAAAGTCAGCAAAAAAACAAAGAAATGAACTTGAAAGTCACTTAGTATATATATAAACTAAGTACAGGAAATGGAAAGAGACACACATATAAGTACAGCATGTACATTAGTGAACCTCTTTTGGGGTTCAAGTTTTTAAGTTTTTATTATTAATTTTTTTTTTCTGTTTAACTTTTTTTTTTAAATATCAAACCAATCATGAGTCGCTACATGAATTCACTAGCAAGAAGTTTACTCGAGAGAATTCTGAAGAGGGAGGTTCATGTGAGTGAAATTATTTTAATATTCTTTTTATCTTAAAAAACGTGTGAATTCCTCTGTGAACTCTCAATTTCCTGCTCTATGGTTATAATAAATGGAGTTCAAGAAATGAAATTGAAATTTACCCACATACATTACTTGTGTATTAGAGATATTGTATTCTAGATTTTGTAAGGATATTAATTATATTTATTTTGAGATAGTAAAATATCTAAAATAAACTTTATAAATTAAAATATTTCATTTGAAATTCCAAATAGGTACATATTTTTAATACAAAAATTTTAATAGTTCTGATTACTTGGTATTTCATCTGAATTCTTTGAAATTGCCAACAAAACTGAATCAAAACTAAATTGAAGCAACTTTTTATATTATCTGGGTTTTTATTATCAAATGGAACCCAAAAACAAAAGAACCTAACTAAAATAAATTTAAAATTCATAAATTCCAAAATAGTATATCTATTTTTATACTTTAAATGAATAAAAAACTGAAATGAAACCGATTGTCCAACTTCTATGTTTAGTATTGAATCAGACTCTTTCTTTTTATTAATCTAAAGGTATATCCTATACCTATGAATAATTCTAGGTCAATCTCTAATCGGAGATGCAATCTATAATCTATAGATAAATCTTATTTCTGGATATTCAAATGCGATCCAAAGTCCCGTATTTTATATGTGTGGCCGCATGGGTTTAGCTAGTGTCATGAGGTTATTTCAAAGCCAGATCGATTAGATTTACAAAGTATGTGTACCACTAGACTATTCTCTTGTGGTTGTGGTAGACCAGATTATGTGTCCAAAAGATGCTAAAATTATGTACCTTAAGCAAATAAAATAAAATAAAATAAAATAAATATTATATGTATATTTAAGATACAATTTATAGGAAGAAAAAATAAAGTTTCTCAAATCGCTTTCACGAAGACAAATATTTTTTGTCTATTTATGAATCGTTTTCCAGTTTTTGTCTCTAACTTCACCTTTATACATGGCGGATACCTTAGGTTTAATTTGTTTGTATTATGGTTCAGTTTTAGGAAATTTTAATCCAAACGTACATACATTTTGGTTTATTTTGTTGAAATGAAGTTTAGTTTATGTGTATATATATATATATATAACAGAAGAACAACAATTTTTTGTGAAATATATAACTCACCGTTAACGATAAATCATAAATAACTTTCAAAACTATTCTACAAACCTTACAACTTCTGATAATTCTTACAAAAAAAATCAAAACTACAGAAAACTTCGACAATGTTACCAATTGCTTTTATGCGCTTGATGATATAATGGTCATGTAATGACTTTTTTTTTAAAAAGGGCATTCTTGGTCGTGTAATGAGTTGCGCATCCAAAGAAGATAGAAATTAAAAACAGAATATCCAAAATATTTTACCACCAGATGATTAAAAGTACTATATGAACATTTTTTTACGTATATATACTACAACCTTGTCCTTATTAAATTCACATGTCTGACGACATAAAAATGAAGAAAAAAATAACTCACATGTCTCCACAACACACACACACACAGCACGGTCATTTTCGTGAAACAAATATTCTTATACATAATTATTTTGTCAAAAAAAAAAAGAATCTTGTATTTTTATTATATTAATTAATAAATCTCTTGTCAAAAAAACGATTCTTATACATAACATAGCTAGTTCAATATGAATTAATAGAATTAAAAGCTTACCAAAATAATAATAAAATTAAAAATGGAGACGAGTGGGAGATTTGATTAAGTTCACGAAAAGCGGTAGAAAAGAGGAGAGGTTTGGCTTGCTTGTGAGCTCCGAAACTTATCTATTCTTTAATGGTGCCAAAGATAGAGAGAGGTGATACACGTGTGTTTTCACAGTTCTCCCTTTTTTCTCCTCTGGCTTATACGTTTACGGAAAAAGATATAATATAATAATCTTTATTACAAAAACAATACAGTATATGGTTTCGAAAATTCAATTATCATTCATTTGACTCAATGTTACACTCCATTGAGCTTGACTTCTTAAGAGATCTAGCTAGATCTCTGATTCGAATATTTGAATTATATCGTAGGTCTCCTATCAATAAAAACAAATGGATACTGTGATAATCATAACCCATCAATTTGAAAAAAAGTTTATTCTTGTAATTGAGTAATTAGTTGATAAGTAGGTTGATAAGGGCAAAATACTATAATGTGCGTCTCGTCTATAAAGATTATATAGATGAAATTAGAGAATAGTTGTAACGATTTACTTATCTCATTTAACTGCCAATATTTGCAATCACTGTGTGAAGATAACTTAAATTCTATATATTTAATGATTTCTTAGTTTATACAAATAGAAAAATGTGTGTGTGTGTGTGTGTGTGTTGGGGGAGAGGGAGGGGTGGTTAACTATACAAACGAGTTATTAAAAATATACTAACACTTCAGAACTTCGATGACCTTGCTTGCTATACTTCATGACACATGTGCATGTCTATTTCTCTCTCTGTACGTATGTTATGTATATATGTATATGCGTGTGTGTATATATACCGGAGTTTGATAGTGGTTGCTCATTTGCGACTTCTCAATACTTTTGTCTCTTGTTTACATTTGCTACTTTTGCATGTCTTCTATATACATCTTTCGTAAACCCTAGTAAATCATACAAGGTCAGCCCCTTTTACTTCATCAACCCATAATAAACGAGTTCTATCTTTTAGTATTATTCACTTCATTGTATTCATTATTCATCTTGAAAAACCATTTTGTATAAGACGACATACATGTCGTCATGTATATATTTGTTTTACGTGTTCTTATTTTCATGTAATGTTTTCAACTTACTCTGAAGCTCCTGGTTTTGTTGTCGTTAGGTCGTGTTGGAATCAAGAAGCTGAACCTTAACTAGCCTCGAGACGTTTATAATCAAATACGAGGAGCAATGGAAAAAGATTATTCGGTACGTACATTTTCACCATATACCTTAAGCATGTATAAAAACATTTGTATGTTAGTCTATTTCTGTTGCTTTTGATATCAACTTAACTCGCTGATTACGGTTTCTTTCAGGCACCGAATTTCCTAAGTGAATACTCATGCGGTAACGATGATAACAGCTCCGGTATGATAGGCCACATGTTCAATAGAAACCTTCAGCAACAAAAGCAATACATGCCGCAGCAGAAACAACTGTCACCTTCTGGATTCGGTGCAACGCCAACTATCGATAAAATGAGCTTTGCAGACGTGATGCAGTTTGCGGACTTTGGTCCGATGCTGGCGTTAAACCAGACCAGAAACCAAAACGATCAAGAAACCTGGATGGACCCGTTTTACATCTTGAAGTTCCCAGTATTCGACGGGGACCATAACCAAACACATCATCTCATGTCTCAAGAAGGAGGTGGGTGTGAAGGAAACATAGGCAACGTGTTTCTTGAAGAAAAGGATAATCAAGAAGATAAAAACGATAACAACTCCATGCAACTTTGTTTGATTGGAGGAGAAAAAGATAGAGAGAACAAAAACGATACGACAAAGGAGGTGAAGCGCAAGAGGAAGAGAGCTAGAACAAGCAAGACCAGCGAAGAAGTGGAAAGCCAAAGAATGGCTCATATCGCGGTGGAGAGGAACCGTAGGAAGCAAATGAACGAGCATCTTCGTGTCCTCAGGTCTCTCATGCCTGGATCCTACGTTCAAAGGGTATGATATACGTATTTACTTTTTGTGAATTTTTTCATATTTCAATATTTTAACTAGGACTGTAAAATAATATTATAAATCATTGTATATTATTAGGGAGATCAAGCGTCGATAATAGGAGGAGTAATAGAATTTTTAAGTGAGCTGGAGCAACTCCTACAGTGTCTGGAATCACAGAAGCGTCTAAGAATCTTGGCGGAAACCAATGACATGCATGGTGGGGACATGACCACGAATATGATTACTTCTTCACCCATAACTTCAGTTGCTAACCCGTTGATTATTACCGGAAATGTAACCGGGTTAGAGGGTGGAGGAGGGCTTCGGGAGGAGACAGCGGAGAAGAAGTCGTGCTTGGCAGATGTGGAGGTGAAACTGCTAGGGTTTGACGCCATGATCAAGATACTTTCAAGAAGACGACCAGGACAACTGATTATGACGATAGCTGCTTTGGAAGATCTTCATCTCTCTATTCTGCACACCAACATCACTACCATGGAACAAACCGTCCTCTATTCCTTTAATGTCAAGGTAAGTTTCATTAATGTTTAATTATCGAAACCAAAGATCCAGTAATGTTTGCATTATAATCATAGGCATTTACATACATTACTTATAAAGTTTGTTGAACGCATAGGTTAGGATTGCTTTGATATACCTAAATATATTTTTATATAAGCCATAATGATACAAATAATCTAGCATAACCAGCCAACATTCATATAAGACAGTACATTATTATACCGTTTTCATATAAACATTCACTATTTATGCTTAATGTGTGGAATTTCGCATTTTTATTAGCTAATAAAATTTAGGGCAGTACAAAAGTTTAAATGAAAAAGCTATACAGCAACACTTAGTTACATGTTTTGTTTCCCTCTACATACAAATGAGAGAAAAGAGTTACGTAGACGCGGTGTATTATATGGATTAGTATTGTTATACAGTATATGTAGGAAAATTGATAAATGCTAACATGATGTGATTTAAAACATGTGCAGATTATAAGTGAGACAAGGTTTACGGCAGAAGACATTGCAAGTTCAGTCCAGGAGATAATTAGTTTTATTCATGCAAATACCACTATGTAATGATTCATATGTATTTCTCCTGTTATTTCCGTTAAATTTACTTTTTCATAAGTTCATGTTGGATTAATTTTAGGTGTCCTTTTGTACCTTTTCAATGTCATTGTTATATTTTCTGAAGTTGGATATGAGACATCGAATCATCAAGAAATCATTAATATCTGAAGCTTTTGCTAATGGTTAGAAACAGTCTTAATTACTTAAATAAGCTCGTTACACCGAAGGGTAAAAGTACGGTGGACGGTTATTCTTTGAGATTTGTTCCATTTATTGCTAAATTAATTATATTTGTTTTTCTTCTTTTGCATTACTTCATCCATAGTTTTCATCCTAGGAATATGTTAGATACATGTTCGATGCATTTTCTGTGCTGCATCACATTTACAAGTGTCAATGTACATGAATTTGTACTACCGCAAAAGTGTCAAATTATTTCAAGTATAATATAGTTTTTTTAGCATTAAGTATATATAGAATATCAACATTATCTTTCGTCCTCTTCCTTAGGGAATTTTTATGCACTATCGATATAATTATAATTACCATATGATAACAAGTTTACAACTGTTCCAGGATACCTTCAGAGTCAACAAAAATTGTCTAGTTGTCTAAATTGCTAAAATAGGTGGACGGCAATTTAGGAGTATTGTCAAACTACATAATCTAGAGAGAGTACTCTGTTTGATACATTGAAATTGAGATGTTGTGCTGTTTTGTTTTTAACATCAAAAAACTATTCTATTACTCAAACTTCAGGTGGTCTAAGAATACATAGCATAATAGAACAATCAACAAAAGTCAAATGACAATAAAAGTTACGAACAGTCCTAGCTAAGCTATATGCAGTCCGGTTAAGCATTCTTGATACATGTGAGATCTTGAAATCTGGAAGTATTCTCTTCAATAAAGCAAATTTTCCTACCTCTGTGGAGTAACTTGGCCAGTCCTTCCGGTTCATTATCATTGCCATAACAATCTTGCAGTCCGTCCCAAAATGTTGACAATTGGTGTTTTGAATCATGCTCTCCATAACACATATCAACGCCTCCAATTATGTATGCAAAGAAGACATACGGTTTTCTTTGTTTTGTATTCCTAATAGCTGCTCATTTTCTAACCCGTCCTTCCAAACTCATTCATATCCGTTGCGGTCTGATTCAGCTGTCCATGATCCATCCACTAGACAAATGTTTTGCAAACTTATGGCTTGTGTATCCATGTGTGATGTCTGATCTACTTCTGCAATCTTTGCATTTGCTTCAAACCAAGCTTTACATTTACTCTCTGCATGTCTGACTACTTCAAGCGGATCTCTTGAGATGCTTCTGAAAAGTTTGTCACTCCTTGCTTTCCATAAACACCATATAATTCATGGGTATGAATCTCTGTCCAGTCCAGGATCTTCAATCTCATTCTTTCTCCAAAACATGTAATCCATGTTTGTGAATATGCTTGTTATCGGAAAGATTCATAGGCATGAGGGTGTCGAGGCAAGAGCCTATGTCTGCAAAGCCGGTGGACATTCAAAAATAACATGATTAGCTATTTCATCCGGCTCACCACATCTAGGACCTGAATTGTCACAACACATATGGCGTCTAGTTAAATTTTCGGTGACCGCTATATATCCAGACACAGCTGCCATATAAGATGGCAGATCTTCTGTGGAGTCTAAATTTTCCAAGCAAGGGCCTTTAAACTGGTTAAACTTGGTTTCGTCACCGATTCTTCAATCTCGCGGTTCAGAATGTTTCTCGCGGCCCAATAAACTGATTTCACCGTATACATCACATGTTCAGTATAACTTCATCTGTACTTATCTTCTCTATGGGATTGTCTTATGGCCAAGCTCCGAATTAGAGAAATGTCTTCTGGAACAATAAGGTTCTCCAGCATCTCCACGTTCCACACCTTTAGGGATCCATAAATCAGATCGCTAACTATCATCCGCGGATTTACCAGCGGGTTAATCGCTTGAGCCGGTCTAGCTGGGATATATGGTATCCACAGATCTTCCCAAACACGTATTTGGTACTATGAGTGGACTTTCTGATTGATTCCCAACATTAAAAGAGGTTTAGAAGCCATCACACTTGTCCACACATAAGATGGGGAAGATGCATTTACCACCCATAACGACAAACTTTGTCAATAATACCTGCCACACAAGACTCTCGCAAGAAGAGAATCCAGAAACTGAATTAATCTCTAAAGTTGTTTTGCCAGTAACTCCAAGTTGAACTCATGTATCAGCTTTTATCCAATTTCTCCTTCTTTCTTTAGAAATGAAGAGTTTATCCCATGATGCCCAATGCATACCTTAGTTAGGCGGATTCGAGCTCCACCAGAATTTTGCTATCACACTTGCTAGTTTATAACATATCTCCAATGGGAGAAGAAAGCTAGACATCACATACGATGGAAGAGCTAATGCAATGGCCTTTATTATGACTGGGTACGGTTAAGCCATCTGCACTCCGGTTAAGCGTTATTGGTACGTGTGAAATCTTGAAATCTATAAATCTTCTCTTCAATAAAGCAAATTCTCCTAGCTCTGCGTAGTAATTTGGCCAGTGCTTCTTTTACTATTTTCTTTGTTAAACTTTTCATTCATGATTCATTTTGTTTGAGTATATATAAACTAATCTACTTGTACGTAATAGAAGAAGATTTTTTCTTAGATTCACCAGCCACTAATAATTTAATTAAACAAAATAAGAAAAACTTACTTAATCATATTATATTTTTGAAATAAAAAGATAAAACTAAATAAATATATTTAGTTACCAATTTTAACATTGTTAACATCGTAAACAAAACACTGAATCATATATAAACTCTAAACACTAAACTCTAAATCTTTGGATAAATCATAAACCATATGGCTTAAGGTTCTAGTGTTTATGATTTACTCAGGTTTATCCAAGAGTTTAGATTTTTTGTATTTAGGATTTAGTGTTTCGTGTTTTGTTGATGGTTTTAATAATGTAAATTTTTTGTTTTAACATCTAGTGCTATTTTTTATTTATTTTTATTTTAAAAACACAATATAATCTAATATATTAAAACAGAAGTACATATATGACACTAACCATATTTTCATGTGGTAATTACAGATTTTGCCACTGATTATAACTAATTTAGATTTTTCTCCAATGGTCGTCATTTAAGATTACATATAACATGTCTTTTTTTCCTATACTAATCCAAAATGATGTCAAAACAAAAAGATGTCAAAAAAAAAAAATCCAAAATAATTCAACCACAATTAAACATTACCATAACTCGGTTGCACCTTCTTCTGCATCTAAATATTCTCTTACTTGCCGAACATTAAAATAAAATTGTCAGTTGTACTATTTTTCTACAATTACATGTGAATGTCATTTAGTTAATTAATTAATATCAATACTATTAAAGGAGAAGGAATCCTAAAAAATCTACTTATATAAGTTGTTTGGACTTTTTTACTAGATTTAACTAATTTTTTGGTCTTACCTTATATTTCTCTAACTATATGATAGTCAATGCTTTTATTTATTATTCATATTGAAAGCAAGAGATATTTTAGGGAATGAAAAATAAATATTACTGTAGAAATTAATTCAACTATATTCTATGATTAATACATGGACTACGTATTTACCATACTAACATTTAATGCTATAACTTATACTAATCATAAAAACATTTCACGTAACACCTCACTATTATAATTAATTTAACGCATAACAATTATAGCTACCGGTTTACAATTTTGGTATATTGTTGACATATTTCTTTTTGAGTAAAATGTTTTCATTATTTACACCCACATAGTATGAATATTATTATAGCATGAACGTTTATGTTAACTGTACACAGAATTCTATAGTTGGTTTGTTATTCAAATATATTTTACATAATCGAGTTTAAAGAATCACAAATCAAAATATTTCTATGAAATTTTGGATCATTTTAAAACAAATTTCAAATTTATATGGATTTTAACGGATCAACCAGTGTTGGATCGCACACTAACAAAGTTTTACCTGGTTTTTAAATATTAGAGTTTAACTAAATCCGAATTGGATTATATACGATATCTACCGGTTCGACCGCGGGTCTTGATCGAATACAAAAACATTGGTAAGTCTATTAAAATTCTTACAAATATATATTAATCATTTAGTCAAAATTTGGCAAACTAGTGAGTTTTATGCCTCACCATCAACAAATGTAATTCTCTTAAAATGCACACAAATATAAATATGACAATTTAACATGCATATAAAATCTGAAATGAGCTAATTGATACAGTATATTTTTTTAAAAAAAAATCAATTGCTTTTTTGATATAATACATCTTTGTAGCTTTATAACTTAGAAAGCGCGAGTCAAAATCTAGTATATTATTTATTTTGAAAGTAACCGACTGGAACCAATAATCAATGTCATTGTTGTTCCACAAAATATTCCTAAAATTAATGCCACTCCCATTGATTTAACTTAGGGCTTGATTTGTAGAGCATTAGCATAAGCATTATGCTCTCTGTTATCCAATCAACATTTGTCAAAGAAACATTTTGAAAAGTATTTACCAAATGCAAATGTTTTCTAAATGCTATTTGCTCAATACTCCCATATAGAACTTTTAGAAGAGCATTTGTAGATAGAAAAGAGAAAACTTAAAAATAATTATATATAATTAATTATTTTTTTAATAATATAAAACATATTTTTATAATTAAATATAAATTTACATTTTTAAAAATAAGAATAAAAATTAGAATTAACTTTTTAAAAATAACAATATTTCACATTTAAAATATAATACAATTTCTATAATTACATATATCGTTCATTATTTTTAATAACAAAAATATCATAATATATTTATATATTATCAATATAAACATATTTTTTAGACACTAATAAATAAATTTTATAACATTTATTAATTTTTAGTGATAATTTTATATATTAATTATTTACTGCTCTACAAATAAATAATAATAAAAAAT